ACACTAAAATGGGGAAGGTGGTTATGATGAAAGTTTGGATTCATCTTCCCCGGGTTGAATGATGGCTGGTGCCTTGATTAATGGCTTAATTTCTATCAATTAGCGGGGAGAAATCTCCACTGAGACAAGGGTAAATTGAGCATTGAATTACAGGCCTGGCTTTGTGTGCCCAGGAAGGAGCTCGGTGACAAACACGGCGTGCCACAAATCCAGCAGAATTCCCTGTGCCAGGGCTGTGCCCACCCCTCTGCTGGGAGCGGGGCTCTCGCCCAGGATGCTCTCAAAAATACCCCAAAAAGCCCCAAAACGGGAGTGCAGGGGTGTGAGGAGAGCAGTGGGCAAGGCACACGGGACGTGCAGGGCTCCAGCAGAAATTTCACCTTCTACAATTCAAAGTTCTTAAATTCATAGATGTTTTCTTAAATTTAAGGTTCTTAAATTCAGAGCTCGCTTGCTGAACTTTCCCCTCCTGCTTTCTGCTGCATTTTATACCCAATGCTCCCAGGTTTTTAAAAGCTGTTAGTGTCCAGACTTGGTTTAAAATCCTATAAAAACAAGGTTATTATCATTATAATGTATGAAAACAGCAAACTTAGAGTAGTCTGGCACTCTCTGTACTACTCTCTGAAGTACTCTCTGGAGTAAGTACCACAGTGCTCACAAAATGCTATTTTCAATATATTTTAATGATAACCTTATTTTCACAGGATGTTAAAACAAGCCTGGACAAAGTTTTTCTTGTTAATTTGCATTTTTTTTCAGCTAAATTTGCAAATCCTGTGTGCTCCCTGTAATCAGTAGATTCTGGAGTACTCCAAACTTTCTACTTCAATAAATTTAATTGTATTTTTCAAGTGCTTGCAGTGAAGTTGGAGCAGAGAGATGAACAGGTAAAAGTTTCTCTGCCCAGTTTCTGTTTTTGGGGTGTATTTATTGTTCCTGTGACTGTGGCTGGGAAATCCTTCCCTGGAAATCCCAACAGCTGGGAAGGAGTGAGGAGCAGGGCTCGGGGATTGGGAAGTGGGAATGGGATTTATCCGGGATGAGCTGTGGGAGGGGTGAGGGGGCTGGAAGCTGATCCCAAAATCGGAGATGGATCCCGCTGGGAGGGATGGCTGGATCCTGCAGGGATGGATGGGTCAGGGATGATCCTGCAGGGATGGATGGATCCCGCAGGCATGGGTCAGGGAGGGATGGATCCTGCGGGGATGGATGGGTCAGGGATGGATGGATCCTGCAGGGAGGGATGGATCCTGTGGGGATGGGTCAGGGAGGGATGGATCCCGCGGGGAGAGATGGATGGATTCCGCAGGGATGGGTCAGGGATGGATGGATCCTGCAGGGAGGGATGGATCCCGCGGGGATGGGTCAGGGATGGATGGATCTTGCAGGGATGGATGGGTTAGGGATGGATGGATCCTGCAGGGAGGGATGGATCCCACGGGGATGGATGGGTCAGGGATGGATGGATCCTGCAGGGATGGATGGATCCCGCGGGGATGGGTCAGGGATGGATGGATCCTGCAGGGGTGGATGGATCCCACGGGGATGGGTCAGGGGTGGATGGATCCCGCGGGGATGGGTCAGGGATGGATGGATCCCGCGGGAAGACTCCGCTCGGAGCATCCCCGGCTCGGCCCCGAGGCTCCAGCGCTTTGCGTGAGGCGGTGCCTCCCTCTAACGGCAGCGGAGCCCGGCCGGGAAACCGCATCAGCTCAGGAGATCCCGGGAAACATCCCGGGAAATATCCCGGGACAGCCCCGCTCCGGCCCTGCAGCAGCAGGAGGGACTTGGCGTGCCGGGAATGCCGCGGTCAGGGCTTGCGACAAGGGGACAGACAGCTCTGGGCTGATCCCCGCTGTTTTCTGCTCCGGCTGTGGGGAGGGCTCCGGGGGATCTGCAGGAAAACTCTCCAGGGAGGGTGTCCAGGGGGATCTGCAGGAAAACTCTCCAGGGAGGGCGTCCAGGGGGATCTGCAGGGGGGTTCTCCAATGGGGATCTCCAGGGAATCTCTCCAGGGAGGATCTCTATGGAAGTTCTCCAGGAATCTCTCCAGGGAGGATCTCCATGGAAGTTCTCCAGGAATCTCTCCAGGGAGGATCTCCATGGAAGTTCTCCAGGGAGGATCTCCATGGAAGTTCTCCATGGAAGTTCTCCAGGGAGGATCTCCATGGAAGTTCTCCAGGAATCTCTCCAGGGAGGATCTCCATGGAAGTTCTCCAGGGAGGATCTCCATGGAAGTTCTCCAGGGAGGATCTCCATGGAAGTTCTCCAGGAATCTCTCCAGGGAGGATCTCCATGGAAGTTCTCCAGGAATCTCTCCAGGGAGGATCTCCATGGAAGTTCTCCAGGAATCTCTCCAGGGAGGATCTCCATGGAAGTTCTCCAGGGAGGATCTCCATGGAAGTTCTCCAGGGAGGATCTCCATGGAAGGTTTCCAGGCAGCTCCCACTGGCTGGAGTTGCAGCACTCGGGCTGGGAAGGGGGTCAGGGCTCTGGGATACCCCAGGATCAGGTTTGGGATGGCTGCTCCTCTCCTGATCCCAACAGACGGGATTTGAGGCAGGAGAATTCCTGAGAAGCAGAGCCTGGTTCTGGTGAAGTCCAGAGGTGACACACCACAGCGAGTCCCACCTGTCCTGCTGGATTTGCCTCCTTTTCCCAGTGCTTAGAGCAGAATCCAGGATCTCCCACAGCCAGGGAGTTTTTGTGTCATCCACTGCAAATTACCCAGGCAAAACTTCATTTTTCTTTAATTTGTCAGCTTGTGCAGCTTGAGTAAAACTGGGATCAATTAAAAACCATGGGATGTGTGAAAACCCAGTTCTGGTGGAAAGCACACAGCTCTGTAAGGCAGCTGGATAAAAATATCACTTCCAATAACCCCAAATAAAATGGGATCAAAGGGGAAGTATTTTCTGCTGTAGTTGTTTGTTTAGTCTGGGATCTGGGGGTGTTTCCTTCTTTTAATCCTCAACTCAAAAGAGCAAGAAGAAATAGCAGCTTTTCTGTATTTCAAAGCTTTTTTTATGTAAAATGTGTTATATTTTTAAATTAAATTAAATCTAATTAGTAAAATAGGAAGAAACAGATTCTGAGGAATATTTGAGGTTTTTTGTCATTGCTTTGATTCTGGAGTTAGACCTGCTTGAAAAAATCTCTTTAAGTTCATGTTCATGGTCAGGATTATGGATAAGCAATGAATCCATAAAAATTTACACTCGGAGATTATCCAAAAAATATTTAAAACATGTTTTTGTTTAATGGATCTTTCACAAGATATTATTGGTCACTTAATGCTTCTATTTCAGTGATTTTAAAACTCTTAGTGGAATAAATTTTGTCTTTAAGGAAAAAATGGGAATTTTTTAGGCAGAGCTCGCAAGGAAGTTTTCCTTTCACCTGCTTTGTAGAATCATAGAATTCTCTGTTTCTTCTACTTTTATCTGATTCTCTGCTGTTTCTAATTATTGTGTGTGTGGTGTTTTGGGGTGGCATCAAGAGAATTCCAGCACATTTAATTCTCCAGTGACATTCCAGCCTAATTCTACAGGAATTCACAGCTACAGAGCTGGGTGTGTATATTTATACATGGGAGGAGAGCAGCAGGTGTAAATAGAGAATTGTAAAATACTGAATTATCCCTGAAGGATGGTGATATTCCCAGTTCAACTGGGAAAGCTCCCCCCTGCCAAGGTGACAGGGCTGGAAATTGTTCCTGCTGCTGGAATCACCTTTTTATTAAAAACCAGCCCTAATCCAAGATTTAGTTCCTTTATTTCCACCCCAACAGGCTGCAAAGACTCACGGTGCACTGAGTTAGTATTGATTTTTTTTTTTTTTTGTCTGAAGCCTCGGAGCTTTCTGACTCCATTATTTTTGATTTTCCTATGAAATACATATCCTTGTCCCTGACAGCTGACAAACAACAGCTGGAAGTCGTTTTATCTCCCCATAATGTGTTTGTCAAAACTCCCCTGCACTAATGGGCTCTGCTTCCTCCAGTCCATTTTCCCCCGTTAATGTCACTGATGTCATTGGCAGCTTTTAGTGATTTTTGCCCCTTCCCTAATTTGTCATTCCCATCACTTTGTGAGGATCTGGGTGGGATCCTGGAGCTGCCTGGGATTTGGTGAAACTGGAGCTGAGCTGTGGATTTGAAATCTGCTTTTCCTGCCTTTCTATGCCTGGCTGTAATCAGGATCCTTTATTTACCCTCAGACCAGGTGTATCCAAAACCTCAGTGAATTCTGATTCCCTCTCCTTTGATATATCCCAAAAATCCATGGGAATCTGTTCTAAAGCAGAAGGTTTCATCACCAAGGCAGCAGGACTTGCAAACACAAGTTTAAATGTAGGAAATTCTTTTTTACCTTCCAAATCCCCCAAAAAATCTGGTTAAAGTTGTATTTGTGGATTTTGCTGTAGTGCAGCTCCTGTCAACTTAGAATTATGGGATGGTTTGGGTTGGAAGGACCTTAAATCCCATCCAGGGACAGGGCAGGGACACCTCCCACTGTCCCAGGTGCTCCAGCCCCAGTGTCCAGCCTGGCCTTGGGCACTGCCAGGGATCCAGGGGCAGCCACAGCTGCTCTGGGAATCCCATCCCAGCCAGGAATTCCCAATTCCCAATCTCCCATCCATGCCTGCCCTCTGGCAGTGGGAGCCATTCCCTGGGTCCTGTCCCTCCATCCTTGTCCCCAGTCCCTCTCCAGCTCTCCTGGAGCCCCTTCAGGCTCTGAGCTCTCCCTGGAGCCTTCTCCTCCCCAGTTATCCCACAAATCCTTAGGTCAGCATCTGGAATGTTGCCACCCTCACTGCTGTTGTTTTTACTCAGAGCTTTCCCTTGTAACAGAAGATTTTGGGCTGCATTGCACGAGCAGCTTCTCCTGGTGTGTCCCAAAATCTCCTTCAGGCATGGCTGGGACAGGGCCTGGCTCCCAGCATTTCACCAATCCCATAAATGCCAAAAATCCCACAAATCCCACCTTCCTGTGCAGACCAAGCCACCCTCCTGGACCAAGTGAAGCGAGTGAAGGAGATCGAGGCCATCGAGAGCGACGCCTTCGTCCCACAGACCTTCAGGTCCAGCAAAGAAGTCAAAAAGGTACACTTTCCTTCCACAAGGGGCATTTTCCTTCCAAAAGGGATATTTTCCTTCCAAAAGGGCATTTTCAGTCCCTTTCTTGCTGCATTATCCTCTCAGAGCCAGGAGGAAGCTGTGCCATTAAGGATTTTCCATCGATAGAAGAGCATCAACGTTGAGAACCTTAAATCCACCTGAAATCCCACCAAGGACTCCCTGATGGTCTCAGGGTGGCTTCAGGGAATTTAAATGTGACAGAATTTAAAAAATCACCTGGTTTGAAGACTTTTGTTAGGAGAAGCAGAAGAATTGAAATCCCAAAGTAATCACATTTACTTTGTAATTAAAGTGGAGATGATTTTAATGCTGTTTAACTAAAGCCAGACCTGAGGTCTGTATTTATTCCCTGAAAAGAAGCAGCTTGGTTTTCAATCAGCTTTCCAGAAACCCAACAGGAGACATCCAGATCCCAGAACTTACCTGAATTTTGGCCAGCAGGTGTTGCAGGGAGCTGGTGTGGGATGTGTTCATTTTCCCACCTGGCAGTGTGTTTGGAATTATCCCTGCTTGTTTCCCCAGGAATGTGCAATTTGCCTTTCTAGACATCTCCAGGAATCTGGTGCAGCTTCTTCAGGAAGTGATCCAAAATCCCAATGGTGCAGTTTTTCCAACTCTCTCCCTATACTTTGTTTTTATCACTTCTTGTCCTTTGTCCTTGTCCAGTGTGTCCCACTGAAGATGCTGAGGATCCACGAGGATCCTTTCAGGGAAGACAGCCAAGTGCTGGGTTAAAATACTGCCACAGTTGGGAATACTGGGACAAAGCACTCAAATTTTGTGTGTTTGTTTCTTTTTCAGTCAGCAGATCCTCCTGAGCTCCAACAGGAGCCTGTGAATGTGGGAGCAGGAGCCCCTGAGGCAGCTGCTGCTGAGAAAGAGCCTCCAGCTGCCAACATTCCCACTGCCATCAAGTACCAGGATGACAATTCCTTAGCACATCCAAATGTGAGTGTTTATCCCATCTTTTTAGCCAGAGTTTATCCCACCTTTAGCTTTAGAGCAGCCCCTGGCATGAGAGCAGGGTTGTGTGACCCCACAGCTCCTCACAAAATCCCTGCTCTGGGATAAAGAGGATCCCACTCCTCCCATCACCCAGCAGAGCAATCCCACAAGGAGGTTCAGCAGGAATTTTAGAGCTATAAATGAATTTTATAATAAAATATAATTAATGTAACACTGGGGAAGTTCAGGTAAACAAAAATTCAGGACAAATTGGTTTCTGTAGTTGGAAACCTGGTGGAAAACTCAGAACTTGCCCGTTTTGCCAACTTGCAACGTTTTAAACACGGGACAGGCTTCAGATAATTTTAAATCATTGTGGCTAAACTTGAGCAAATCCCTTTGGAAGAGCTTTAGAGGGAAAGAAAAGGTTTTTTAAGAATTAGCAAGTCAAAAATGCCTTGCAGTGAAGAAATCAGTGTGGGTTCTGTAGAATGGACAGAGAACAGATATCAGGACATGAATTGCACTGGAGCCTTGCCTCCCCAGTGATTATGATCTTTAAGACCCCTCCCAAGCCAAACTCTTTTAGGATTCCCTGAACAGTCTCTGCTGTTGTTGATGATTTTGGCTCACCTTTGTCTTTGCCCCCCCTGAGCTTCTCCTGTGGGCAGCGGGGCAGTGGTGGGTGCTGCAGGAGATGGGCACAGCCCCGGGCTCGCTGACTGTGCCGGCTTTTCCCCCGTGGCAGCTGTTCCTGGAGAAGGCAGAGGCTGAGGAGAAGTGGTTCCAGAGGCTGGTTGCTCTGCGCCAGGAGCGGCTGATGGGGAGCCCCGTGGCCTGACGGCTGCCAGGGCATCCCAGCCCCTTCCCACGTGCAGCTCCCGCTCTCAGCTGCTCTTCTTGTCTCTTAGAGGAGGCTTCAGTGAGCTGGGCAGGCAGGGAGGGTTTCACCTGGAAAACCAGGGATCTTCTGTCCTGCTCCACCTGGGGAATCAAGAATGTCCTGCCCTGCTCTACCTGGATGACTGGGAAAGTTCTCTCCTGGTTCCCCTCAATGACCAGGAATGTCCTGCCCTGCTCTACCTGGATGACTGGGAAAGTTCTCTCCTGGTTCCCCTCAATAACCAGAATGTCCTGCTCTGCTCCACCTGGATGACTGGGAAAGTTCTCTCCTGGTTCCCCTCAATAACCAGGAATGGCCAGCTCTGCTCCACCTGGATAAGCAGGAATGTTCTCTCCTGGTTCCCCTGAATAACCAGGAGTGTTCTGCTTTGGTTCCCCTCAATAACCAGGAACGTTCTGCTCTGCTCCACCTGGATAAGCAGGAATGTTCTCTCCTGGTTCCACTCAATAACCAGGAACGTTCTCTCCTGGTTCCCCTCAATAACCAGGAGTGTTCTGCTTTGGTTCCCCTGAATAACCAGGAATGTTCTCTCCTGATTCCACTCAATAACCAGGAGCGTTCTCTCCTGGTTCCCCTCAATAACCAGGAATGTCCTGCTCTGCTCCACCTGGCTAACCAGGAATGTTCTCTCCTGGTTCCCTTGAATAACCAGGAGTGTTCTGCTTTGGTTCCCCTGGATAACCAGGGATGTTCTCTCCTGGTTCCCCTGGCTACCCAGGGATGTCCTGCCTTGGTTCTCTGCAGGCTCCATGCTGGAGATGGGCAGGGCAGCACAGCCAGGGGCATTTCCATTTTTTTGGAGGGAATTCCTCAGGTGAAGAGCACCTGGCAGCCCATGAAATATCATTTTATCTCTCCCAATCCAGAAAATTTTATAGAGCCAGGTAGGAGCTGGGAGGTAAGTGGGAACTGAGGCTGGGGGCTGGGGGAGTGAGGAGCCATCAGTTGCCCTTCCATGTCCTGCAGCTGGAGAGGATCCAGGATCCATCCCTGTTATCCCTTCCTCCTGTGCAATCCTGAACATCTGGGCAGGCTCCTGCCTGAGGGAATCCTCTCCCTGGATGTGTTCATCCCTCTGCTCCCACTGCCTCACTCTGGTGGAAAATGCTCCACGTTTCCTTGAGCATCTGCCACTACTGCCCCTCCAAAATGGGAATTGTATCAACCTCATCATTTCTGGAATTGCCAAATGATGGAATTGCCACACACCTGCTTCTGGGCAGGGGCTGCTCCCAGCCCATGGAGTTCCCTGGGGCCAGGTGGGACTTTTAAATAATCAAAGTTTAGTCTGAACATCTGAATTTAGCCTGGATAAGCTTCCACAAAAATCTGCCCATCATCCATCTAAGTGCAGGAAATCAACCAAATCAAATAAATAAAATACAAAAGTGTTTCTTCAGCAAAGCTGGGGGGAAATTGTCACATCAGGAGAGGAGAAAACTGAGCCCCACCTCTGGATGAGCTCCCTGGAGCTGCCCTGCATCAGCATTCCCTTGGGAAGCTGCTTTTTGGGATTGTTCCTCCTGCTTCTCAGATCTGTGGTGATAAAAAATGGAGGCTGACTCTGGAAATGGACTTTGGTTGTTTTATTTTTTATTTTAGATCCTGGATGTAAAAGGAAAATGTATTGAATTTGCATTCTGACACATTTTTACTTCCTTTATGAAGGGTTAGTTTGACTTTATCCTGCATCAAAATATTCCAAGACCTTGTCTGCAGGAAAAAGTGGGAAAAAATTTGTTTCCCCTGTTTCATTTCAGCATTTTTAAATGGTAATATTTGTCATTGCTGCATTTTATCATCACCTTTTATGTTTGTTTCATAGAAAATAAAAACTGTTTGATGTCCATGGAAGGTCCAGGTGTAAATTCCTCTTTTCACACATTGTGTTGGATAAGTTTGGTGCTTTTATTGGATGTAAAATGATTCTTTTTATTTGCAGCCCTGTAGAATATTAGAAAACTTTACAATAGGCAGCAAATAGATTTAAAGTAGAGTTCATTTATTTATTTATTGTTTATTAATCAACATCTGAATTTGCTGGAGGAGAGTTGGGAGCAAGAGCTGGAAAGAAAATGGAAATAACATTTAGATAATTTAAATAAATTAAAATCAATAAATTAATTTAAATAAATTAAGTTAATAAATTTTAAAATGTTTAGATAACATTTAGGTAATTGAAATAACATTTGGAAAATTTAACTGAACGGAAAATATACTGAAATATTCCGAACACCACTGGAAACGTGGAGCAAATCAGGATAAAGTTGATTTTTATCATTCCAGTAGCAGCTCAGTGATCAGACTATCCACGAATTCCTCAGGATCGTGCACTTTTCTTGGAACAGTAACTTGGGCATTGCCTCAGGGGGCTCATTGAAGGGGATTTTCCTGGGTTCTTGCCCTGGCACATCCCTGGATGCAGCGGTGCCCGAGCTCGTGCCAGCCTGCAGGGACATTTCCAGAGCCCCCAGCACTCCAGGTGGGTTTGACTCCTCCCTGCCCCTGGGAGGGACACAGCTCCTGTGATTATGTCCCAGCAGATCCCACTGGGACAAACTTGGCTTTTCCTTGGGATCAGCTCTTCACCTCCCTGCCTTGGAGCAGCAGCAGTGGGATGGGGAGGCAGGAATCAGCTCTGCTGGGGGACCCAGGAGGGGTTGGAGGTTACTGCTGGAATTGTTATACCCTGGGGCACATTAGGAAGGGAAATGTCCAAGGAAATGTCCAAGGAAGTGTCCAAGGAAATGTGCTCTCCACCATTCCATGGCTGGGGCCTTCTTCCCTGAGGAAGAGGGAGGATGTGTGACCTCATCCAAATTAATTCATGCCAGCACCTGGCCATAAACCCCTTAAATGTGGGCAAATCATCTCCAGCAGCCTGGATAAATGCACTGCTGGCTCCAGCTTCTCCTGATCCAGTAATGCCACTGTTCTTCATCTCCTAAATCTTAACCTGTGACAAAAATCCTGGTTTTAGTTCCTGTCATTTTCAGTTCTCACATTTAGGACTCTTTCCTACAGAAAGTTCATTTTTTTCTGGTATTTTTCCCAGTTTGCTCCTGGTGAAAGGGAGCAGATTCCTGCACAGGAAGGGACACAAGCAGCTGTCAGTTTTCCCTGTAGAACTCAGGATTTTGGCTGTGTTTGGCAGCCTGCAGGGACATGGCTTTGTCACTCAGGACTCTCTGATGCACAAAGTTCCTGCCAATGCCAGACTGCCTGAGCTGTGGAAGATAAAGCTGGAACTGGAGCTTCTCTGGCTCCTGGGAGTCAGCAGAGCCCTTTTCCCCAGGAATTCCAGCAGCAAACTCATTCCCAGAGCCTGCAGAGCAGCCACCCTCCATTCCCATCAGGAATGGTCCCTGCTCCTCATCCCTCAGCAGCTCCAGCACTGTAGGTGAGGGATAACTGCCTGGAAAGGACCTGGGGGTGGTTTTTAGGTGGTTGTCATTGTTGTTACAATAATTTAGGAGGATTTTGCTGCTCAAATGATGCTGTCAAAGAAACCCTCCTGGCCAGGAGATCAAATGTTGCTCCTCCTGCTCCAGTCACTCCAGGAGGGCAGCACTGGGTGATCCCAAGGCCCCTGTCCCAGCTGTAACCCAAAACCAGCCCCCTGCATGATGACAGTTTTCCATTTGTCAGGTTACAAGGAGGGAGTTATTTTTAGTGGGGATCCTTGAACTCCAGAAACCTTTGTGAGGAGGGACCAGCTGGAACCTGGGGCTGAACCCAGGGCTGGAGGGGGCTGGGGAGACTCCTCAGCTTGAACGTGATACAAAACCCAGAACCACAACTAGCCAGGACTGAAAACACCCCCCTCTGGGAGTTTGGACTCAGGGCAGCATTGGCTGTTTGTTTCTCCCAGTTTGGACACAGAGCAGCAGTGGCTGGCTGGGAATGGCTCAGTGACCCTGAGGCCCTCTGGAATTGCCACACAGGGGACTCCAGGTGGCTCCTCTTTGTGGAAGGAAGCAGAGGGGCAGGAGGGTGCTCCAGCAGGCTGAGCTGAGCTCCCAGCCCAGCTCCCACATTCCAGGTGCTCTGCTCCCACAAAAGATCTGCAGCTGCTGCAGGGCTGGAGCCCCTCTGGAGCCAGGCTGGGAGAGCTGGGAATGTTCACCTGGAGAGGAGAAGGCTCCAGGGAGAGCTCAGAGCCCTGCCAGGGCCTGAAGGGGCTCCAGGAGAGCTGGAGAGGGACTGGGGACAAGGATGGAGGGACAGGACACAGGGAATGGCTCCACTGCCAGAGGGCAGGCATGGATGGGAGATTGGGAATTGGGAATTCCTGGCTGGGCTGGAATTGCCAGAGCAGCTGTGCTGCCCCTGGATCCCTGGCAGTGCCCAAGGCCAGGCTGGACACTGGGGCTGGAGCACCTGGGGGAGGTGTCCTTGCCATGGATGGGAATTAAATAATCTTTGAGTTCCTTCCCACACAAAGCTTTCCATGATTCTCTGATTCTGTCCCAGTGAATTTAACAGTATTTTGTTATAAATTCTTGTTGTCTTATTTCAGGCCTTGTACAAATTCCTGAACTGGGCAACAGGGAGCTGAAGAGATATTTAAATCAAATATTAATTTCCATGTTCTTACACATCTTCCTCCAGTCCTTGCTTTTATCTGACATTTACCAACAATTAATCACCAGCTGCCTTGGCAGAAGCTGATGTCACCTCTGGACTGAAATCAGCTGTGGAACAGCACAGTCCAAAGGCCTCTCCCACTAAAAATACATTTAAACCTCTGGGAAGTGCAGAGCAGCCCTGAGCCCACCTGGAAAGGAGCAGCTGGAGGAGTGAGGACACCTCATTTCTGCCCATCCGTGGGAAATGGAAATAGGAGCTGCTGATCCCTCCAGAGCTGCTGGGGATGGAGCCCTCTCGGGTTTCCTTCAACCTTGCTCCTGACATTGCTGGGCAGAGAATGGAGCCGGGCCCCCAGGTGCTCCCATTCCTCCCAAAATAGTTGGAAACCCCCTATTTTTACTAATTCTGCTGTTTCTCGCTAGCTGGGTAAGCAGAGCTGAATGTTTGGAAGTTTGGAGCTGCAAGAAATGTAATTAAGAAGTAATTGTGTAATAAAAGCTGGGTGTTTTATTGAGTGAGCAGTGAAACCTGTCCTGGCTGATTGGAACTGACAATTTATCCTTGCCCTCCCTGTGAAATCAGCCAGAACCTGAGCTGGGAACTCGATGTTGTGATAACTTATACACTCAGTTTGTCCAGGACTAATTGGAACATGGGATTAATGGATCTGCTGAGGTAGCAGCAGGAATTTTTAGCTGCAGCCACAAGCAGCCTGAGGCAGGAGAGCCCTTAGGAACAAACACAGCGTGGCCTGAACTGGGCACGGGCTTTAAAGAGGGGCTGAAAGTGCCTTCACCTGCTGCCAGTGCCAGGAGATCCTACAGAGGACAGCAGGGAGCCATCCCAGCTCACCAGCCTGCAATCCCTGCATTATTGGTGCTTTGTGCTCAGCCTGGTGTCTTACCTTGCTGTTGGTACCAGCTCCCAGCTTCCTCAAAGAACAGAATCACAGAATTTCTAGGTTGGAAGGGACCTTTGAGATCATCGAGTCCAACCCGCGTTCTAGCACCTCAGCTAGGTCATGGCACCAAGTGCCACATCCAATCTTTTTTTGAACACATCCAGGGATGGTGACTCCACACCCAAAATGCCATTTCCCCACTTTGCTGAGACTTTATGGGCACTGAAGTCTCAGGACATCCGTGGCACAGCCCGAGGGTCCCTCCTGCTCCCAGAGGGATCTGCTGCCCTGCCAGCAGTGTTTATTAGCTCAGCCTTAATTGACAATCTCTAATTTGTGTGGGTGGAGGGAGCTGGGCTGCAGTGAGCTATAAAAGGAAGGTCATCAGCAGCCTGCACGAGCTGGTGACAGCTCTATTTATAGCCCAGCCCAGGACCCAAAATGTGTTTCTTCCCCTTTTTTGGTGCTGCAAGTTCAGGGTTAGGAGTTCCTGCAGGCAGAGGTTCCTCCTGCAGCCTCTAAGTGACTCCTTTTATCAGCTGCAGACACACAAGGGCAGGTTTTAGGGATATTTCCTAATTATACACAAAGAGAGGACATGGGCAGGTTTTCTGTTGGGTGGGAAATGGAAAAAAATGGAATAATAGTAAAAGAAATTTAGTTTTTTTTTTTCCTATAGAAAGGAGGAATTGTCTTTCCCTTGCTTGCATCTTATATAAAATAGGGTTCAACTTATCCAGGTAAGGCTGACAGCATAGTCCTGAACAGGTATTTTATATTTCATCAGAACAAAACCACCTCTGGTCAACACTTGGCTCTGATTGCTCCATTTCCCTCGTTAGGGTAATTAATTACCCAAATTTTAAACCTTGTGAGATGCAGCATCTTCAGAGGAGACTCACAGGATTCAGACTGGATTTCAACAGAAAAATCTGCTGATAATGAGCTAAGGAGCATTCATTCTTTCTTTCCTCTTCTTTCTTCTTTGTGTGTACAAACCAGGTATTTCCTTTGAAATTTGCTCTTTCATTTCCACCTGTATGTCTGTTTTAAAGAAGGGAACCTTGCCATTTAGTTCTAATAATTAATGAATTTCAGTCTGGCCAGCAGAGTTGTGTCCAGCCTCGGGAAGGGCTCTGGCTCCACTTCTCCCAGCCCAGTCTGGCACTTTTCCCATTCAAACACGTGCAGGAATGCAATTTTCACCTCCAAGTGTTAAAGCATCCCTGCTGCTTCAAAATAATCCTTTGGATTATTAGAGGAATTAGAGTGGATGATTTCCCAGAAAGGCAGAAATATTCCTGTGCTTTTCAGCAGTTGCACCAAGTGTTTCCCACAGATTTTAGTGTATTTTATTTAAAAA